AGGAGGCCCTCGGCCCGGCCGCTGGGCCCGCGCGAGGCAGCGGCTGGCATTCGGGCTCCCGGCGCGGCCCCCGCAGAGAAGATGTCCGCAGCCCCCCGGGCTGCCCCCTCCCCGGTGTCACATCCCGTCACCTGCGCCGCAGCCTCGCCCAGCCCGGCTCCAGGCAGCGCCCGTCCTGCCTGCGGGGACGGGAACAGCCAACAGCGAACGAACAAACATCCCGGAGCGCCAAGGGCGTCCTCCCGTCCTCCCAGCTTCTCTTTTTTTTTTTTTGTGGCAGTGACTACAACTGCTTTGCACTCCCGTACCTTCAGCCGGGCAGGCTGCTACAGGCTGCCAGCATCAACCCCTGAAGACAGAGACTACCTCAGGGACGCGAGCGCTGCTGCGGTTCTCCCTGGCATCAAAGAAATTGGCCACTAAAAACGTAACAAAAAGCTTTAATGTCTTACAGTAAACCAATAATTGCACAGTATAAATAATTAACACGGACAAGTTCAAATAAATAACACATGGTTCAACACGCATCTCTGTTCAAAAGCAAACGATGACCTCAGGGAACGGGGTTTGTCTCGTCTTGACCGGGTGCTCCACGACCCAAATCATTGTCGAAACCATAGCAGGAGCCATCGCTCAGGTATGAGCTTTGATCGTCACAGTCTGGACCGCAGCGGCCAGAGGCGGCTGGGTAAACAGTGAGCGAGGAGGCAGCAGGGACAGCTCATCGCCTTGCAGCCTGGCTGCTGGCAGAGACAGACCCCCCTCCAGCTCACAGCCCTTCCCGGTGAGGTTTGCTTCCCAGCCAGCCACTTCTCATCTGCCATGCATTTAAGACATTTTACTTAATAAATAATGCCTTATCTCACACTCCCAATCAGCCCTGTATTTGCTTGCGAATCCTCACGGTAGTAGGTAGATAAGCATCGCCCCCCACTTCACAGGTAGGTGTGAAACAAACCCAAAACCAGAAACAAAGTTCCCCGCTGAAGCTGCATGACACGACACGGCCAGGGCTAGGACAAAACTGCAGGATAGCTGGAGGTCCAGCCCCACATTTACTTCATTCTGGCTCATTTTTAATGACTAACACTGCCCTATATCTTACAGGCCTCCATGCAAGTCCCCAGTTAACGCCTAAAACAGATTCACTAATGCCAGCTGGGTCAGAGGAGCTGCGGCTGGGAGAGGCACAGCCGACAGGGACACATCCAGCACTGGCTGGGCACCCGTCGCACTCAAACAAGGAAGGGAGCGTGGCAATGGGGAATCTCTCGTCGGGCAGACCCAGGCTCTCCAGACAGCGCCTGGCCAGCCCCCGGTGCTCGCCGTCCAGCTTAGCGCCGGGGTCCAGAGCCCCCTTCGCGTAAACGGCTCTGTGCGGAGCACTTGCGGAGGTCAAAGCGGACGCAGTCAGTGCTGCTCCCGCCCGGGCGTTACTCGACAGGCTTCACTTTTGCAACGAACAAGGCAGTGGCTTTCTTCAGGAACTCCTCCCGGCTCATGGAGGTGCCAAGCTTCCTCTCCTGCAGCGCCCGGTCCATGGCCAGGGCCAGGCCGTCCGGCCCCAGCTTGGAGCCCGCCTCCAGGTAGCGGCTGGGGAGAGAGAAGTGGCCGGCGCCCAGCGCGTCCTCCAGCGCCCGCAGCACAGCCTGGCAGACCCTCCCATCGGCAGTGCCGGAGCCGCCGTCCAGGACACCGAAGAGCGCGTCTGCCTTGGCGGCGAACTCCAGCAGCACGAAGCAGGTGAGGACGCCGTAGCGGAAGACGTCGAAAGGCACGGCCTCGTGG